GAAAGATTAGTAAATTTGTATCAAAACCTTTTAAGTTTTTTTATTAATATTAATTAAAATATTTTTTAGAAATTTACTATTCTGTTAAAAAAAAACTAGGAATTAAAATTAATTAAATTAAAAGATGTCATTAGCCTCTAAATATCCTTAATTCACTTAATTTAATTAAGAAAACTACACATTAATCCCCGTTATAATGATAAGTTTAGATGGTAATAATGATTATGATGGTAATAATAATATATATATATATATATATATATGTGCGTGTGTGTGTGTGTGTGAATTTAAATGACTTAAACTTCAAAAATAAAATGAAAGTCAGGATACTTAATAACAATAAAGGAAAGATAAGGTTAAGGACCATATTTGTAATTAAGTATGTTTATATCTATCAATCATAAACTTCATTGTCACATACATACACACATACATGCATACATACATACATATATGTATATCCCAATACCTGTTTTTGGAGAACAGCAAGGCCTCCAGTATACTTCCTCTGTAATTTGTTAAGACAGGCAGGCAAGTTGTCAACATTATACAACCACAGAACTTGATCTTACAGCAGAAGTGAATGGCTTCCTGGGCCTTCCACAGGACATAATTCAACAAAACAAGTATTAATCTGAATCATCACATCCAAACCTATTTCAGCAGGTATCTTGTTGTCCACTGTAAATGGGCAGAGATATCTGAACCAGAGTATATCTATTTTGTATCAATAATTTGATCTAGTGCTTCCTTTAGAAAATGAAATAGTTTGATCAAATAGGAGATGCAGATTGCAGCAACGTGGTAAATGCTACAGGTTCGCTTTGTCAGCTATGAGAGTCACGACTGCCTGGCTCATGCCAAATTAAAGTGATCCGGTAAACTTGAACTTCAGAATCCAAAAAGGAACCACCCAGATGAAACCTGTTGTATTAAAGATGATGCAAGATGAACTCAAGATAGTCGTTTATAATTCAAATAAATTTTTCAAAGAAAAAACAGATGATTATACCATCTGCAACAACTAGTTAAGGAGAATCAATGCAAATAACCTAGAAAATGACAGCCACCTCGTCGAAACGATAAGTTCTGACTATGACAATTGAGAAAGTTATCTTTAGCATCAGGATAGAAAAGCAATAGCTCGGCTAATGATAGATTTACCACTATGATGTCTATAAAATGAAAGTTCCTTAGGCTACATGTTTGTTTCCTCAATTCCTCATGACATTATTAAATTTCATTAGAAGAACCTTCAAAGAAAAATAGAACACTACAACAACTGTAGCAACTAATTAAGGAGAATCCCAGCAAATAATGTACAAAAGATTAGAGGAAAAAAAAAACAGTATTATCTAAGATTCACCATAAAGAACACTCATATTATTAGCAGGTTTTTTTTTTCCTTTTTAATGCCTTTCATGTATGTAAAGAACATCAGCAATAAACATGCCCAGAAAAGGGTAAGGGAACTATCTTGAAACAGCATAAGAAGGTGGTTTGGAACCAGAGCTGGCTGGGAATTTGATCTCACACAAACTTGAAAGGCAGCACTTGATTTGCGTTGGTACTTACCCAGTGATAGCTGAAGTCTTGGACTTGGACCATCTGACCAAACTTCACTTTCAGAAATAGATACTTCTAGCTCTGACAATTGAGATTTGAGAAAGTTGGCAACCATATGTCGTCAACAAACAAGTACAACTTATTCTCTTCTCCTAGTAACCTGTATACAGACCATTTTTAACATCAAGATATAGAACTAGCCATAGCTGGGATAAATGGGTCCTAACCATGGATGTCGGGCATAAGCATGTAAGGTTCTAAAAATCTCAGAGTTGTAGACAAATTGAAGGAGTAATCGGGATACTGTTGATATGAAAATGAATTTAATCAAGTCCTGAACATATTTAAGAGTGAGAAGTTTAGATCCTTGTTCAACAAATCTCCATTCCCCTAGTATATCTATAGCAACCACTCCTTGCTAGCTTCGTTGCAGAGTTTGACTCATTCCTGCTACATCCCAACATGTGGTAGATAATTTATACTGTTTATATACAAATTTTCATAAATAAAAAAGCTTCCTACTTCAAGTATGAAATTTTGCAAAACCTCTCTAAACCACTTTATAATACTGCACCATTTTCTGGTGAACTGATGAGTGTAGAATTGCTTCATTTTTTTTTACCTCTGGTTAATGAAATTTTAATGTAAATGCTAAGAATTAGCACTATGACCATTGATGGTACACTGAGAAACACATGATTCAATAGAAAGCTTTAAGTGCGTCAATGAAATGGCAACAGAGGCAAAATAGAGGAATAAGTATAAAACATTAGAACTCATTGAATTGAAATAATTAATCCTTAAGTTGAGGGTAAGAGATAAGGTACTAATACACTTACCAGCAACGATGAAAATTGCAACGACTACTCTTGATGCTGTCCTCAGTTATTTATATGATTGAGCATGACTAGGTTATAAAAGAACCAAATTTCTCTCGAACTATACCACCATTTTTCGTGCCATAACTGGCTTTGTCTTCATCACTTGCCTATATCTATGATCCATGCAGGCTCTTATTCTTTTATGGAGCTCATCATCTAACAATTTGGCCTCCCCTACTGAGTTCAGTGCATCACAAACCAATTTATAGGTATACTCTCTAGGAACTGAGCCTCCATCAACCAACTCAACAAGAAAATCCCAGGCCTCCGAAATCCTTCCTGCTTCACATAAACCATGTATAATTGGAGTATAAGTACTAGAAGTAGGTACCCCATGATTCATTTTCTGCATCTGCCTCATCATTTCAACAGCCTTATCAATCTCATTTACAGCACTGTAGTATCTGATAAAAGAATTGTATGTAACTTTATTTGGGGCACAACCACTTTTATTCATATCCTCAAACAACTCCAAGGCCCTTTCAATGCGATGAGTTTTGCAACAACCATCAATCAAACAATTATATGTCACTACATCAGGAACAAAACCCTTAAAAAGCATAATGCGAAACAAATGGTTGGCCTCCCACAACCTCCTCCTAATAGCCTTCCTGCAGCCAGTTTGCATGCTATACTTACAGTAAGAACTAATCAATATGGTATATGTATATGTATCTGGAGGGCATATAAAGCCAGGTAACTCCATTTGCTCCAACAAAAACTTCGCCTTTTTAAAATTGCCAACCCTACAAAGAACATAAATAATGGTATTATATGCATAAACATCCGGCTTACAACGTAACTGCTTCATCCTATAAAATGCGGCCAAGGCCTCATTAACCAAGCCTTCTTCTCCTAGAACTTTTATCAAACAGGTAATGGTAGCACTACTTACAAGACTACCCTTCTCTCTCCTCGACATTTCTTTGAGGAAATTCCAGAGACCCTTTAACCTATTGCCTCTTGCCAACACACAGGCCATTTCTCTACAAGTCGTCTCATTGTGAGCAAACCTAAAATGGGTCTCCACCCAGTAGTAGAACTCCATTGCTTTATTAAGTCCTAAACTAACTTTTCGCATGTCTCTGTATGCAGCAGGGCCAAGAACAAGGACGTTGGTTTGACGTCTTCTATGTTCTTCTTTAAGGTCTCTTTGCTTCAATGGGGCCCGGTGGCGATGACCTTTTTGGCGGCTGATAGAGCGCGGGGATTGAAAGAAGAATCTGGGTATGGATCTTAAGATATCAGAGACTAAATCAATAGTCCACGGGTTCGTGGTCGTGATCGTTGAGGCTGCAAGAGTTGCATCAAATGGGCGGTTCTGAATCATGGCTGCCATTACTTGGCTGATTAAGAGGTTAGTCGAATATCTTGTTGGGTTCATGTTACTCCGCAACAGGAAACTTTGAAGGTCTATGGTGCTCGTTTTTACATTTGGAACTGTAAAATCCAACAAAATACATACTAGAGAGGATAGGAAGAAAACATTTCAGGGTGATACAAAAGATTGTTGGTATAAATACCCAGAATGAGTGAAACGGAAAGAATTAATCTCTTTTTTTTTCTTGAAAGCAAGAAAGAAAGAAGAATCAATTGATTCTGGGAGGTGAAAGTTGACGAATAAGCAAATTTTGATAATGGGAGTAAACGAGCAGATGTTCTCGTGAATCCCCACAAGGGAGTGGGAGGTTAGCAGTGAGGTAGCTGCGCTTTAATCCAAAAAATGAAGGTCGTGGAGGAAGATGGCGATGGAGATCCAAGCTACAATGGTCTGGGCTGTTATTTTGAGTTCTGGGTTGGTGTGAGTTGGCCCAATCTTGCAGGTGACGAATTCAAAAATTTATTGTGATTTATTTG